AAAGGTTATACATAGTTTGTTACGTTGATATACTCGGTATTTTTGTAAGTGATGTTGATACGTGATGTGTCGTTAAAATTATTTGTGGTCACTATGTCTCGATATGCCAGGTTCATGACATCTCCGTAATGAGCTCAAGAAGGATTATTATGTTAAACCCGATCAGTGGGTTAATTTTCGACACAATAATAAAGAATTGAGTAGTATTATTTCTGGAATCAAGAAGTTAATTAATTGTATTATCAGTAACTAAATTAATCAATGAACATTACATCTTAAACATAGGAAGTTAAAATCGAGAAATTATTCGTGAAATGAATTAATTGTAATTCAGAGCTAATATGGAGTGCAATAATATTACTCTATTGGAATTCTTTATTATTTAATCAAATAAGGAATAAAAACATGATGTCTTCTAGAATGTTAACAGGTCTTCTAGAAGGTCAACAAGTTGAATGACTTAAGGACTTTCAGAATGTTAATAAGTTGGAAGACATAAAGTTTTCTATTCCTATTTAAAAAAGTCCATATTTAGCACCTCAATATGGTTCCCATTGTAACTTACAAATACACCAAGTTCCCTAGCCTCCAAGGTGATGATTCTACACATACAAACACTAATACACATGCCTAAATCAGATTCCCTATGTCCAAAATCGTGTAGAAGAGAGAGTTCTTCTCTTTGGAAAATTCGAATAAAATCGAGAGGTCATAAGAGAAAAAAGTTAAGAGGCTTTGAGAGTTTCGTTTAATCACTCCACTAAGATTAATCGGAGAAGGTGTAAAGGTCATACAATAGAAGATCCCAAGGTTATGTATTTGAATCCCAGAGAACATATGTATCATGCGAATATATGCAGCCCCGCAGCACCTCGGATGTAGAATCACCGGAGCAAGCCTGATCCACCGATTAGCCCAGGACCACCAGTCGCATCCGTACACACTAGTGTTAGAGCCCCACGCGCCGCCCAAGCACCACCAGCACACGATCGTGCGCGGCTCGCACTGTCAGACCCGTGTAGACCTAGGGCGACCCCTGTTTTTCATGCGACTCTTGGAGTTTCTCAGCACGACCAGCGTATTCCTGTCTACAACCCGAGCGTGACCTGCGACTTCTTCGTGCGACATGCGTGCACCCTAGCGACCCAATGCAACGCCTCATACGTTCTAGGAAACACGCAGTGGCCCACGTCTTCCCAGCGAGCAGCCCGCGTGCGGTCCGCGACTCTTTTGAAGCTCGCGCGCAACCCAGACACGTGAAACATCGGCCCAATGATGACCAGGCAGGCCAGACGCGACCAAGCCTGGCCATGACGGTCCAGCCCAGTCCAGTCTAGTCTAGCCCAGTCGAGATCCGGTCCAAACTTTTTCTAGCCGATTCAACAGCAGTTCGGGAGTCCTAGCGAGCCCACAGCGAGTCCTGAGCGGTCTGACTAACCCAAAGAAGGTCTGAGATGGTTCGACAGGCCCGATGAGCAACCGGAGATGTAATGGTGAGGCCAAGTCCGGCAACCCAACGGACTCTGAGCTTTAAACGATCTCCAACAGCAGAAATCAATAACGCCTGAGAGTTGGAAAAATTTTTTAAACTGTAAGTCCTAATCCTATCAATATATTTTGGTGCTTTAGGGTTTATTTTTAATATGTGAATATCGACGACGTTTCTCATATAACCGAACATAATAATTATGGGCTTAAAATAAATATTTGGGAGCATAACTATTTTTGTCAAAAAGAGACATTCATAAACATAAAAATTATGGGTTAAAAATTATGGGTTGAGGGGAATTAATTTCCAATGGAGGATTTCACGCCATAGAAAGACAGATATATCTACGCATGGACTAAGGGAGATCCACACCGCGGAGGGAAGCCGTACCCGTATATGAGGGAGATAATTTCTTTTTTCTACTATTTATTTTTATTACAATATTAGACTAATTATTTTATCTAGTTTGAACCCCAATTTCAATTTGTTTATGAAGGATTTTTATTTTTCGTTGTTTAATTAAAGCGTCGTATTTGTTTTGTTAATGAATTGATTCATGTTATCTATTTTTTATTGTCTATAAATTATGTGTGTTTGATTTAGTTCGATCGCCTACGCTAAATATTCATAGATTATGTGTTGAATACCAGAATTTAATCTGTAATTGTTATTGTTCTCGTTTCGTTAGTAGTAAACTAAGGTTCGTACATCTCTATGGTAGTCTAAATATAAGTTAAACGGTCTGAACGTGCGCGTCTATTGCTTAGATTAATCTATTTTCCTAGGAATTGATGTTGCGAATTTATTATATCTAGATACTTTATTCTAGGGTGTCATCTAGTTAAATTTAGTCGAAGAAAATTATTTCGATTAAATATTCAACAATGAAAAATTCGAATAACGGCGTTTGTTGTTAGCTACGGTTGATAGTCATTGGTGTTGGTGAAATGGATTTTATCCGGGCCCCTTCAACTATGACGGTCTCCATACCAGCAAGAACCCAACGCCGGGAGAGAGAGGGGGGTCCCGGCATCAGGCCTCCGATACCTAAGTCAATATCACTCCAAACTACAAATCTCAAAAGTATAATTCTAAATGTAGAGGGAATGAAGTTTTGAGATACCTTAGCTCCCTTTTATGGGGGCCTACCTTAGTGCCCAAGT